GGAGGAGGAAAAGGAGGAGGAGGAGACGGATGAGGAGGAGGAGGAAGAGGAGGGGGAGGACGAGGAGGAGGAGGAGAAGGAGGAGGAGGAGGAGGAAGAGAAGGAGGGGGAGGAGGGGAAGAAGAGGAGGAGGAGGAGGACGAGGAGGACGAGGAGGAGGAGGAGAACGAGGACGAGGACGAGGAGGAGGACGACGAGGACGAGGAGGAGGAGTCCGTAACCATATTGGATCAAGCCATTTTGGCTCAAGGATCGCGCCTCGAGGTTGCGCAGGGCATTCTGTCTCCACTCAGCCACAAGGGACCTCCCCAAATCAGGCTGAGTTTTTCCGTTTCGGCATCTTTTCTCGGACTATAGATTCGGAGTTCCCCGTGCCGAACCATCGCGCAGACCATGGCGACATGGAACTGCCAGCGATGCTTCCGCGTGGCGAAGTCACAGCACAATCAATGTCTCTGTGGCCAGTACAGACATCATGGATGGCTTGCGGGCTACAAGGGCAAAGGCAAGGGCAGAGGCAAGCACTACCCGATCGCCAAGCGCCAGCCCAGCAGGCCCCGTGACCATCGTTCGGACAGGCAGAAGCGGCGAGACACTCATAGTACAGGTCAGCTCATGGAGATCAACAGATCAATACTCCAGAAGGTCGCCTCGAAGATTGCGATGGCGTCCCCGGCAGACGCTACCTCCCACCCAGAGTGGGTTCAGCCCCCAGAGTCAGACGACCCACTCGGAGTTGGCAAGTTTCAGAAGGAAGTGCTTCATAAGCTCAACAGTTAAGCAATGGTGGCATATACAGCGGGCCAGGCAGGCACAGAGCACGCGGACATCAGGAACAGGCTCGCGATGCTCCAGTACGCCACCAGCCTGCTCAAGCCTCTGCACATCCAGCTTCAAAATGCGACCAGGCGCAAACTTATATTGAAGGACAAGCTGGCCGCCAACAGAACGAAAGTGGACGACCTAGTCGCACAGCAGTACACCATCGAAGACGAGATCAATGCCAGGACCGAATATGGCATTTATCCAGAGGGCGATGGGCGAAGAACGCGGAGCACGCGGCGCAGCCAGAGACGTCAAAATGGGAGCCCAGCGACCCGACAGTGCCCAGGCTAGCCCTCTCCTGGCCGCCAAAACTGCGCCCGCGGCAACGGCTCCTTCGCCAATTGGAGCTGCGGCAGCTACAGCACCTTTTGGACCGCCAGCCTCGTCGCCACACTGGTGCCAATATGCGCCGCTGCCTCCTCCAATACCGACATCAGCACCACCGTCACCGATCGTTGCGCAGATGCACCAGAGCATGATCACGATGCAGTCGCAGCAGCAACAGGTGCAAGACACCATCAATAAGATGGCGGTGATGATGGCGAGCTCTGCAAAACAGGCTGCTCCTTCTCAAAATATGGCGGCTGTGTTATCTGCTCCAACTCCTGGGGCGGAGATGCCCGAAACGGGCCAAGTTTGTTTTCCGCGATGCCGGGCTGAAGGAAGATGGGCCGCCACAGTCAGACCCAAAAGACGCCTCCCAGAGCTCGCGTTGCGACAGCAGTGCCAGCAACGCCTGGGCCAACGCAGTTTTGGGCAGCAGAGGAAACGCCGCATCAATAACTGATTTCACAGACGGGAGTCATCGCTGGACCAGATGCATCTGCGACAACGCCCCCGAAGAAATGCCAGAGACCCCGGGGCGCAGAGGAAGTGGGGGATTCTCAACCAATAACTCTACACCAACGGAGTCACGGTTGTGGATGTAGAGCACAGCTTCGAGGATTACTCTTGCTGCTCCTACGATCCGCCCGCGCGACGCTTCGCGTAGCCAGCGCTGCGCCAGCCAATCGAGTGAGGCTACTACCTGCCGCGCTCCTGTGAAAAGAATTTTGAAGCGCTCCAGTTTTGTGAAGGGTCATGCCACTGGGGATGTCCTAATCGGAGTTTCGAGTAGGTGTCCAACTGCACAAGGGAATGCCTCAGACGGTGCCAAGGGGGGTTACAGGGGAAGCGTGACCTAAACTTAGAAAGTCTACTCGAGCCAGTTTCACATGCCTCAGACGACGCAGGGGAGCATCGCCCCAGTACCAGTTTCACCAGGTCAACCACGCATCAGAATTTCAAGCCGCCAGTTTTGTGTCTGCGTCCTGCTGTGTTCGAGGGCGGGCCAGCAGACAACGGAGTACAAGACTGTTCGGATGAGTCGGGAGTATTTGGTCTGACGGCACCTCTGCCCGCAGCTCCCTCGGGGGGATTAGGTGCCAGGTTTGGGAATCCACGGATCTCCCCCTACAAGGTCTCATCGATCACTTCGGGGGCCTCGAGCTCTCGAATCACGTTCATAATGTGCAGCTGCATGGCGCTGCCACATGCGCTCTCCAAGCTGCCCCATTCATGAATGAGCCCACTGGGGAACTCGCTATATACACTTCGCTATATACACTGACGGGTCACATCATGATGACCAGTCTCGAGACAATGCGTGGGCATTCACCGTTTGCTCTAAGACCCACGACGGCGTCAGTTCCAATGGCTATCGGGAGGGCATTATACAAGAAACCGTACCAGACGTTGCGACACCAACAAAATATAGCAGCACCGCGTCAGGTATTGCTGCCTGTATATGGTATATGGCATGGTTGCTGCTCGCCTCGCATCTTCGCGATTGGAGAGCCTGTCTACATGGGCGCGGATTCCATGCTGACGCTCGGCATCGCGGAAGGCACGGCTGCATCACATGAGCTCGAGGGACCCGCACACATTTTGCTTGGGTTGGCGGACAGGGTTCGACCCCGTCTGCCTCTATCCTTCTTTCGCGCTCCCCCTCGCAATTCTCACCCGTGGAATGAGCTATGTGACTCCCTCGTGCTGGCGCCGACGGCATATCTTGACCTGGCGCCATATGAGTTGCGCTCGCTCTTTTCTGCCGCCAGGACGTGGAAGTGGCAATGGTGGTGGGGCGCCACGCCTTCGGTTAAAGGCTGCCTACCCCCAATTCTCGCAGGGCTCGTTTCACGCTGATTGGAAGCCATCAGTTTGTCACCCTGAAATGATCACCCCAATGAGCCCCCCCAAAGTGGCCAGAAACCAATCAATCTGACGTTGAGAGTCACATCCTACAACGCCCTTGCGACCAAACACGAGACTCAAAAAGGTAAACAAGTTCACGTCACCAATCGCGGCCTCCATGTGAGGCGGCAACTGTCATCAGCACAATGTTTTGGTCGGGATCCAGGATGCCAGACTTGCAGGAGGTCGGGAAATCCAGAACAGATTTATGTTTCACCATCCAGCAGACGCTGGCAACTCAGGATGTTCCCTTTGGATCTCCCTCCAACATCCTTACGGATACATTGATGACAACCCTCTCTACCTTCTTGAACGGCATTGCATACCGCTGCAGGCCTCCGCGAGATTACTGGCGGCGGCGAACGACGCGCCAAATCCTGCCCCGGTGGCATCGGTGGCGCATGCGCCGCACGCCGCTGACTGCGAGGAAAGGAGGGGGGAGTGTTGGGAAGGGGTTGGACGGATACATGAGATGGGGAGTCAAACCGATGGTCGGTCTTCTGCTTTGCGATGCGAACGCGCACGCCGGCTCCGATACCTCAAGTGCGATAGGCGCAGAGGGGTGCTGCGAGCAGCAAGATCTGCCAGGCCTGATGTTTCACAACCTACGCCTACATATCAACCATGAAGCAGTAAATGCGTTGCTAACCTCAGGAGAAGCACGGTTCACATAGATCAGGAAAAAGGCCCAAACAGTCACCCAAACAACAGGTCCTCCAAGAGGCCATATTTGGTACTGAGCATGGCGAAGACAAGGTCATACGTTACCGCAGAGGTTATACATGCATATCAGAAAAGCTATGGCCGACGGTACAGCACTCCCGCGCGCTGAGTGACCCGGGCGATTTGCATGGCGCCAGCGACCGCGCGCCCGCCACGGCGGTGCTCGACTCGGTAACCATCCAGGGCGCAAGGGCGCCACATTCATACTATTTACCTGAATGCGTCGGTCACGAATACCGACTCAGCTTGCGAGCAAGCATTGCGGCAATCCCCATGCCAAAGTGGGGTGCTGACGCGAACTAGTGCTGCCGCGACTTCTGCAACAGCACGCTGCAAACAATGCAAGGCTCCTTTGCCCGACAGCCCGTCTCACCAAAAACGCCATTCATGGCCCGGGAACTTCTCCAGGCTATTGTTTTTTTTCGGCGTCGGGCCCAGCGGGCCCCGAGGCCCTTCAGACATCATCGAGCCCCCGCAGTCTTTCCACTGCTGCAGGACCTTCAGGCAAGAAATCGATTCCTGAATTGCAGCCGGCTGATATCTGGACGGCTCTTCTTCTCCCTCTCCTATTTCAGGTGGATGGCTACTTTGATGGCAGCGAGAGTCATGAGTCAGTCATGCAGGTGCTTGTTGCGTTCCTCGCCCGCTCGCGCGAGGTACTGCGTCGCCTTCTTCGAGCCAGTCGCACGCAGCTCTTTTTGCAGCAGGTGAGATATCTTAACGATCGCATTGCCAGTGCGGACGCTCGCGCAGAGTGGCGAACCCTCGGAATACTTCGGAAGCTCGGAGGCTGGAAAGGAAGGATAAAAACAAGGAAAAATCAACGCCAGATTCGTAAGAATCCCGAATGGGGGATTCCTTAGGACTAAAGCCGATCTAGGCAATGATGCCTCAACAAGCTTTGCAAAGCCTGAGTGTGCTGGCATTCTTGGGAGAGAAAACAAGATGCCTCCCTGTGCAACGCTGATCAAGTTCCTCCCAGTGACACTTGCGTTTCCCCAGAAACAGATACGACCGCGAGAGGACTTCGAGAGATAAAGATCAGCGGACAAAAAAGCGACCAGTCCAGACCAGATCAACAATGAGTGCATGCGGGAAGCACCTCGTGAATTCAGTCAGCTTCTGCACCCCTTTTTTCTACGCGCGCCACCTTTCGGCGACGAGCCCTTAACTCTGACGGGGGGGTAGGCGACCCCCGTGCATGAAGGCGGGGCCTGGATCAGTGATTGACGCGCGCGACCGACAGATCCTCCTGCGATCACATGTCGTGAAACACCATCATGCCTTTCTGAGATTTATCATATATCAAGCAACACGCACATTATTGGGTGAAGTGCAGCTTGGCTGGTTAGAAGAAAAGGGCGCAAGAGCGCGCGATTTTGCTCGTGCATAACTTTGTCCTGTCCTGCAAGGCGCGAGGGCAGTCAGCGCTCCTCCATTTCAGTGATCTCAAGAACGCTTTCTATTCTGTTGTCCGCCAGCGTCTCCTGCACGTAGGGGGGCCCTAGTGATGTCGAGCAGGTCATTGCGCGCAATGGGGCCCCCGCTAGCCTCGTGGAGCCCATCAAGGACCTCCTCCAGAAGCCAGCCTTGCTGCGCCAACTTCAGGACGCTCATGTGGCCCGCATGGCTCGCAACAGCCATAACCACGCGTGGTCCCAGGTTTGAAGCGCCAGCGGCGCGGCACTCGGCAAGACTGGAACTCGCGCCGGCATGCCCTTAGCTGCCTATCTTTTCAACTTGAACTTCTGGCCAGTACAGTGCGAGATCAATGACGCACTGCAGCGAAGAGGCTGGCTACCTCAGCTTCCAGAGTTGACGTCCAGCCAATGTGTTCTTACCTCCACTGAAGATCAGGTACCGCATGTGCACGGCCCCTCGTGCGCTGGTGATCTCGTCGCACTTGCTGCCGCGCTCCGGTGCGATGCGTGGGCCGGGGCCCTTGAGGACACAACTGCTGCCCCATTCGAAGCTGTCATCAATCGTGGCCTCACCCCTAACTTCAAAAGAGGCAAGACCGAAGCCATGTTTTTCGCGTCCAGCGTATCCCATCAGATTTGAGTCTTGCCCCCTGAAAATGGATGCCTGGACTCAACGAGCTTGCGCCGCTCGCAAGACTACACAGAGAACTGTGCATCGAGGAGCCGACCTTGACATCCAACATCATATTATATATGCAAAGTCGA